AGAGAGCACCTTCGATGCCACAGCTAACCGGCTGATGCCACGGTGGTTTTCACATAGCGTCCGCGCACCCTTTTTGAAGATGGGGATAACCGTCGACATGCCCCATTCTGAAGGCACTTTCTCTTCGTCCCATATAGCACCAGTAAGCGTTGTCAGATGTGTCACCAGGGGTTTTCCGCCTTCTTTGAAGAGGGCTGGATACAGACCGTCCGGTCCTGGCGCCTTCTCACGTTTCAGTACGGCTATTTCGTGCCCTATTTTTTATTCTGAAGGGTGATCAAGGTTTACATTCCATTCCCCCGAATGCATTACCTCCACTGGTTGTGTTGCATGGGGTGGGGGTTGATGCTACGCTCTTGCGAGCATTCTGAAATGCCTACACCTCCAAGCACCTGAAAAGAAACTTACAGCTCGAACGACGCTGACACCAATTTGCTGCCATTACTTGCAATTTCTCCAGCTAAGCCTATCGGGGGTGGTCCACTTGGGCTTAAGGACAAATAACCCAAATTTTTCGTAGCATTTTTCATTTTACTTTTACAGGTAATATCCCTTCCGCCTCTAGGTTTCAACCACTCCGAATGAGACACGAAAAGCGACCGTTTCTCGCTCGATGGCAGCTCGGCATGGACCCAGTCACCGTAGCTTCTAGTGCTGAACTTGCTTTTTGAGCAGGGTGGAACCCGCATGTTCCTCGCTGCGCCTGGTTGGAGATGCCGGTCATGTTTTTTAGAGCTCGTACTTTGTTTTAGACAACTTACTCTATTCTCTTCTCGCTGCGTTTTGTTACTGGAAAGGCCACGGAGGAAATTCGTCAAGAAGAGGCTGAACCTTACCGTGATTGTGACGGTTTGCACACCTCATCGGCCCATACGGCGGCAGGTGTCCCCGCGACACTCAGAGTCTTTCGTACCAGGTTAGTCAATAACTAGAGGTCTGACGAACACCGTCTCCTGGTCGTCTAGGTTGTGGGTTGGAACATGTTGCGACTTGGTCCGTAGAAATGGTAATGTATTTGCACTTCCCGCCAAACACCGCTGCCTTGTGGTTAGGCTTTTTAGCGGGGGCGAGATGGCCCAAGTGGTTAGAGCGCGAATTTACTGACCGGAAGGTCCGTGGTTCGAACCCGACGTCTGCCGCTCGACTTCCCCTGTCTAGGCTTGGGCGACCTGACAGTATCCCAGCCCTCGTGCCTCCTTCGTGTGGCATGGCAGCTAGACACCGAAAGGGTGCTGCAGCTGAACGACTTAGGCTTTTTAGCCAAAGGATTTGGTTGAGGACCCTAATCGTCTTCCTGCCTAGGTGTGGGTGCTTGGCAGTATCCCAGCTCACGTACAACCATGAACTGCACATATACAAATAAACTCATGCCACATTGGCCGTTGCGTGGTGCCATCAGCCGGGTCGCCCTGCTGCATACAGCAGGGCGGGTAAGCGAAAACAGGCTACTGCAGACACCTCCCTTCTTCCTCTTTCACATGCTTTTTCTTCCCTCTCTCCCCACCCCAATAATATCCCTCTTCTTAGGACATCATCATCGACAGCACGACATCAGTGTTCAACACCGATGCTTCACAGCACTTAGAACTGACGACTCCGTTCGTCTTGCATCGGTTTTGCGTGCAGCATCTGCTCGCCAAATGGCGTCGACGTCGTCAGGTATCTTCAGGTCAATCTTCAAGCCTCTACAACCAGTCTATCTGGCCGCCTTCAATATCCGCACTCTGAAGCAAGCAGGACAACAAGCTGCTCCTGGTTCCACACTGGATTTGCTTGGCATTGATGTGTGATATGTCTCAGAAACAAGAATTCAAAATGGAAGCACAGTAGTTGACTCCACTCACCTCCGGCTACGCACCTCCGGTGATCCAGAGGCTGCTGTGGAGGGGTGTAGAGGGGTTGGTATCGTCCCAAGTCACCGGGCGGGAGTATCTTTTCTTGACTGGATATCTGTTGATTGCCACCTCTGCGCGGTTCGTCTGGCAACGTCTGTGAAGGAGTTTCACAAGCGGAAAGTTGATAGATGTCTATTTACCGTAGCTCCGACGCCGTCAAAGACAAGTTTTACGACGACTTGAATGTCCAGCTGCGGTGAGCTAAAAGCTCAGACATCGTGCTGGTTTCCGGATATTTGAATGCACAAGTGGGCAGACTCAATTAGGAGGTTAACATGGATTGGACTTGGTACGTACGGACAATAATGAACGGTTGCTTCAGCTGTGCTAATCGCAGGCTGTTTTTACGCAGTGCTAATTTGCGTAATAGCCGACTTCGTCTGGTCACATGATGTCCTCCAACGGCAGGCCACCCACAAACTCAAATAGACCACGTTGTCATCAGTTACCGATGGCGTAAATCAATGACTGACGGTCGTTTTGGAACACGTTTGTGGATTCCGGTCACGCACTCGTCCGGAGTCAATTCTCCCTACGTTTTCCAGGGCCGCCTAAGGTGCGGACAAATCGCTTGGCAACTCAGAGCCTGGCGGATCCGAATGTTAGACGAACTTATCATAATCGTCTTCTAGAGTCTCTCCCAAATGCTCCTCCATCAGATGTGAACTCCTGCTGGGACGAGATTGCTGGGAATTTTATCTGCGGCAAGGCACCACCAGGTGCACTCAAGCATTAGATATCAGACCGAACAATGGCACTGATTAAATCTTGGAGAAATATCCCAGCCGGTCCCGAACATAACTTGACGCGAGGAATTTTCGGACATCAAGTGAATAGGAGCGTGCAAGCCGACCGTGAAATGTTGTGGACACAGAAAGCCAAAGAAATGAAAGAGGCCCATAAGACCGGTGATGCCCGAAGCTTATTTCAGTTGGTCCGTGAGACCGGGCCCCGGAAACCATTAAGGATCGGAAGGGAGTGAATATCTCGAATAAACAAGAACGCCTCGACCGTTGGGTCGAATATTTCGAACAACAATTGCCATGGCCACCAGTTGGAAACCATCTGGAATCCACAGAAAGAAAGAAAGCGTTCAGCTGTAGCACCCTTCCGGTGCCTAGCTGCCGTGCCACCCGAAGGAAGCACGAGGGGTGGGATACTCCAGGTTGCCCAAGCCTAGACAGGGGAAGTCGAAAGGCGGAGGTCGGATTCGAACTGTGGACCTTCCGGTCAGTAAATTCGCGCTCTAACCACTTAGGCCATCTCGCCCCACAGGTGACGTAGAACCCTGGACGGTGAACATGGAACCGCCCACGGTCTCGGAGGTTTATGACTGCGGGTGTTCTCTTAAAAGCCAACAAGCCTCTGGTCCGGATGACCTCCCACTCGCATTGTTCAAAGATGGGTGCGAGGTCCTCAATCAGCGATTATCCTATCTATTTGCTTGCATTTTGGAAAAGGAGTCTGTCCCAGACAACTAGGCAGGGTCCGTGGTAGTGAGTGTAGCAACCACAGGGGGTCAGCTTGACCCCGGTCGTAACGAGACTGTTGGCGTCATTGGTGCTTCGTCGCTTTACGGTGGCTCGTGAGACATTGGCTTGAGAGCAATAAGCGGGATTCCGGCCTAGTAGGGGTTACGTTGACCAAATCTTCACACTTCGTCAGGTGCTAGAACAGGGCCATACGTATAAACGACTCACAATTCTAATGTTCCTGTATTTCCAGGGTGCTTTCAATTCGGTTGACCGGTCTGTCCTGCTTGACACACTTGATCACCAAGGAATGCCCCAGAAGTTTGTGAACATTATAAGCTCTTTGTATTCCCAAACTTCCGGACGTGTGAGAGTATACGGCGAGCTCTCCAAAAGCTTCCGTACACAAGTCCGTCAGAGATGCCCACTTTCCCCATTCCTTTCTAACTTCGTGCTCGATGAAATAATGTTGCGAACACTGGAGGGTCTCCAAAAACTTTGTGTTCAAATAACCTGTGGAGAAAACCTTGTCGATCTGGAATATGCAGACTACATCGTTCTCATGTTCGAAGAGGTGGAGAAGGCGCAAGTATTTTTGGATGAACTGACCAAAGTCATCCCGTCCTTTGGTGTGCACTTTGCATCCACAAAGTGTAAGGTCACTCTCCTGGATACTCAGTCACTGAACACGCCACTTAAAACCCAAGGGGAAGCACTCGAGGATGTGGAGCGTTTTACGTATCTTGGAGGTTATATTAGTTCCGATGGTAGTGTGACAGATGAGGTCAATGCGCATATCTGCAAGACTGGGGTCGCGTTTGCTAATTCGAGACACCTATGGCGTCAAATTGGTGCATCCCTGAATCTTAAGGGTCTGTTTTGTTTTATGGCTACGAGACCTGACTTATTCGGGCAGTGGAACTGAGACGTTTTCAGGTGTTCAACAATCGTTGTCTTACGACCATCGTTCGTGTGGGTTGGTGTCGGCGAATCCGTAATGAGGCAGTTAGAAGGCGAGTTTTCGGTTGTGCAACGGGTACTTCCATTGAAGAATGTATCCAGCACCAGAAGCTGCGTTGGTTGGGACATGTGTTGCGTATGCCGAACCATCGTTTGCCGAAGAGAGTGCTGTTTTCCATGCCCACCTGGACACGTCTATGCTCCACGATTCCTCTCCTGCTATCCCTAATGCGATAAGATTAGGTCCCAAACAGGCAACTTTCGTTTTACTGTCAACTTCCTATCGACATGCTTCAGCTACTACTGATGTCATGTTTTGGGTGGGTTCCTTCCAGGCCGTTTGGTTCAATCCAGTATTAGATTCGAAATATCTCTGACCATGTCCTCAGTGCATGGCTTCCAATTTTTTTCTGGCTTACTGCCACAACAGTTTTTCGGGATTGGTTCACTCCTTCCACTTCCCCTACGGCAGCGAAGCATCAGTGCCAACACTGATGTTGCTGTCTTTGATGATGATGATCCTACTTCTCTATATGGCTCATCCAGCCACTCGTATCAGGTTTTGGTCGACCAGTATAGAGCTGAAAGCGTATTTTTTGCAATAACAGTTCACCTTTGGAACTCGTTCTCCCTCGTTCACCTAAACTTATCTTGAAGTACGTGTTTCCTTTTTCACAATTTCACTGTCTGCACTGGAGGATATCTGATTGTGTAGTTTCCCTTTCTCTCTATTTCCTTGGAGATTTTCAGCTATTTTCTTTGTACTTCGTCTTGCTTCAGCATTTGGTCCCTCCTGCCTTTGTGAAAGTTTTTTTTATCATCTAGTTTCAGCTCTCGCGGTTTGTCGTATACACGAAACATGTATACAGTCACTACAAGCTCAAGTATGCGTCCACTGACTATCTTCGACTAGCCTCTTACCCCCCTGCCTTCTACAATTTGTATTTACTTTTCTCATTCGCCGAGCTTTGTTTATTCTTGTTACTTTCGGATTTCAAACCGCTTTCTTCACTTACTTCCTAAAACACTTAGCATCCCTCTTATTACCACATATTTCCTTACAGTTTCAGGTGTTTGCCTGCACCTTATGTGATACCTTCTAACCTGGTGACTTTTGACCCCTCCACACTCGACGACATGGATCCTCCCATCGTTTCTGATGGTTTTTCCGAGCTCAACAGGTCTCCAGTGGACGATGATAACAAACTGTGTTCAGTGGAGGCTGAAGCGGCCATCAAAGAGGTGGCCTTTGGAGTGAAGCAGATTGCCCGAGCTTCTGACTCCCTCCCGTACACCGATTCGTTAGCCTACCTGAATGTTACAACGCTGGAAGATAAAAAAATGTGCATCGAAATAAGCGCCAGGGGATTTTGTCCTGTTGGCGAGGAGTAAGTTCTGTGATGCTGCTCTTTTCGGCTGATGGTATTGTTTGATTACCTTCTGACCCTTTGGTTTGTCCGCCACAAAACCAATGTCCAGCACATTGTCGCTATGCTGAATGTCGTTGCATCAAAGCGAAAAGGTTTATGTATTTCTGAACTACCGTCTTAGTGAACAGCCCAAGTTATTGCCCGTTCCCAGTCGGTGTGACAATCCTTATCAGGCAACAACACTTTATCGTCAGTGTTGAACATTGATAAAAAGGCGAGATGGCCCAAGTGGTTAGAGCGCTAATGTACTGACCGGAAGGTCCGTGGTTCGAATCCGACCTCCGCCACTCGACTTCCCCTGTCTAGGCTTGGGCAACCTGGCAGTATCCCAGCCCTCGTGCT